AGATTATCTGGGAGGCTCGGCTCTATGAGGAGAAATGTGGCATTAGGATTGGAGGAAGACTCATCAACAATCTGCATTATGTAGATGACACAACTCCCACAAACCCCAAGGATCTGAAGCGCTTGCTGCAGAAGGTCAAGGGCTGCAGCCTTCAATATGATTGAAGCTCAATATCAAGAAAACAAAGATTCTCACCACTGGGCTGATTGGTACATCAGGATAGATGGTGAAGAGATTGATATTGTTCACAGCTTTAGTTTGTTTGGCTCCATAATCAACACTCTTGTTAACCAGCAGCCAGGAAAGTTGGGAAAGTCTGCTGTCAGAGACCTCTCCGAAGAACAACGATATCTGTCTGGAAACTAAGGTGTGCCTGATACAGGCCATGGTCTTAGCAATCACCAGAGAGCTAGACAATGACTAGGGATGATAAAAGGAGAATTGATGCCTTTGAGCTGTGGTGTTGAAGAGGAGTATTGAATATACCGTGGACTGCTAAGAGAACGTACAGGTTCTTCCTGGAAAAGGTTATACCAGGCTACTCCTTGTAGGGAAGGATTCTGAAGCTTAGTCTAACGTACTTTGGACATGTTGCAAGGAGGGACCAGTCCTTGGAGAGGGATGTCATGTTTGGCAGGGTGGAAGGACAGTGCAGGAGAGGAAGACCCTCTGTGAGATGGATTGATTCAGTGACTAGGATAATGGGGGTAGGTGTGTCAGAGACACGATTAGCACAAGGTAGAACTGTTGTACATAGGGTCACTATGAGTTGCAGGCTACTCAACGGCACGCAACAGCATATGGTTTGAAGTAAGCCACTTTCTTGGCCACATCAATAGAAATAAAGATTATCAAGGAAAACTTCATGGTCTCATAAAATGTCAAGTGAGAAAACTGAGGCACAAACTGAGGGCCTAAAATTACACTTAAAGATAAGGACAGAACACAAATCCTCAGGCTCCCCACCCAGTGTTATCTGTATTGAAGTCCATTTGACAGATAGGTTTTCTACATAAGTTCACTATGAGTTGGAGCCCTGCGATTTGAAGGCACTTAATAACAACAACAACAACAACACATATTATCGTTTGAGGGAGCTCTGGTGGCCAAGTGGCAAGAAGCTGCGTTGCAATCCTGAAGGCATGTGGTTCTCATTCACCAGCTTCTCCACAGGAGAAGGGTGGGCAATCTCCTCCAGTGCAATTAACTGCCTCTGAAAACCTGTCAGGTGGTCAGCTGCAGGGCAGTTCTAATCCTACGATACATAACAACACATTATAATTTGGTGCCTTAAAAAACTCCTACAAACCCCAAATGTTCAATTCTTGAGCCTAAATTCACTTTTAAAATCATCTTTAGAACAAACTTCCAAGTACTGTTGTTACTAAGTACATACATGATCTATAAAGAAGCTCATTAAAGTGACAAAAATATCATATAAAATCAAAGACAATATTACTAATAGAAAATGGCAGATCAGAAACTAAATGGAAGTCTGATAGATGCCAGAGGAGAGTGTAGAGAAACAAGTTCTTTCACACATTATTGCTGAAGCATAAATTGGGATTATATCTTTTGAAATGGCAGAATTTAATGTGTGTCTACCTTACAAGTCAGCATTTGTTCTTTTAGATTTCAACCTTGGATAATCACATTTTCCACGCCTCTCATATTGAAGATATTTATTATAGCACTGTTTAACATTTTAAAGATGAAGACAAAAAGAAATGCTTACATAGTCACATATTAGCACACAAAAGGAATTAATTAGATCTCTGTCATTTAATGTGATACACTCATTTGCATACTAATTGCAGATTGGAATTAACTCATAGTTGACCTTTCAGCAAGTTCTCAGGGGTAGCAAACCACATAGGAAAAGATTACCTTTCTCCTGGGGGGGAGACAACTAGATAATTCACCTGTCCACTCTTGGGTGGGCAGGGCAACTCCCTACACACGAGGGTACCAGAACTCCTCAATCTGGAAAGCTCATAATAACAACAAAAATCCAAGTTATTTAAGAATGGAGTATTTTATGTGAACTCTTATTCTCCCCCTTAAAGTGATGCCATGTATTTCCTAATAGGTATACTACATGTTGTTGTTGTTGTTGTGTACCATCGAGTCACAGCAGACCCATAGCTGACCCTCTAGTGGATTTTCAGAGGCACAGTTAATCACACAGTGTGAGATTACCCCTCCGTCTCCAGCAGAGCCACTGGCTGGATTTGAACCCATGCCTTTGGTATTGCAGCACAGCTTCTTGCCATTAGGCCACCAGAGAGAAAAATATTTTAATCTAGAAAGGTTGATATCAAAATAGGGAATGCTGGTAGCCTAGTGGAAAGAGAGTGGTGCTATCAAAACAAAGATAGGTCATGGTTCAAATCCACCAGCTTCTCTGATGGAAGAAAATGGGCAATCTATTCTGTGAAATTTATAATCTCTGAAAACCCATTGAAGGGTCAACTATTGATCAAATCCAATTCGATGGTAATGAGTTGTTCTCATATCAGTGGGTATCTCTGAACCAGGCTGGAGACAAAGGATTTTAGCATTATCTGAAATACACTAAAATTTTAAAAGATTATGCTTTTATATAGTTTATATATTTAAAAGTAATTTTAAGTTGACTAAAAGGAAAAACAAATAGGGCCTGTCCACAAATGTCATGGTAGTAGTATACCATGGAGTTGGAACTGACCCATAACTGGCCCTCTAGTAGGTTTTCAGAGCTAATAGATTGCTTGGGAGGAGATAGCCCTTCTTTCTCCCACCAAGTACCTAGAGGATTTGAACCGTGTACCTTTGAGTTGGGAGCTCCCTTATTGGATGTCCATCAATTGGCTTTAACTCATAGCAACAACATGTACAACAGAAAAAACCTGAGCCGAGTCTGAACCATGCTCACAACTCTCCCGTGCTTAATTATGCCCATTGTTGCAATCACTGTTTCAATACACCTCATTGATGGTTTTCTCACTTTTGCTGAATTTCCAAGCATGATGTTTCTTTTCCGGGGACTGACCCCTTCTGATACTATGCCCACAGTGTATAAGATGAAATCCCACCATCCTCACCTCTAAGGAGCATTCTGGCTCTGAAATTAAGACCGATTTAGTTGTTCTTTTGGCCATCCACGGTGTATTCAAAATTCTGCACCAACACCGTAATTCAAAGGTCATTTTCAGTCTTCCATAATCGTTGTCCAACATTCACAAACCTATGTTGTTATTATATTCCATAAAGTTGGAAACAAACCTTTCCTGACCCTCCAATGAGTTTTCAGAGGCAATAAGATGCACAGGTATTGATTACCCATCACTCTCCCTTGAAGTAGCTAGTGGATTAGAACCATGTGATTTCAGGTTGGCAGCACAGCTGCTAGGCCATCAGAGCTCTACAAAACTTTCCATTTACACTGTTGCTCTTTAGTACTTAGATTTGCCCGATGCAAAAAGTAGTTTTATTTCTTGCCTGATGAATTCCATGGGTGTTGATTATGGATCTGAGTGAAGTGAAACCCTTGACAGCTTCAACCTTTCCTCCATTCATCATGACATTGCCTAATTGTTTTCTTTACTTTGAAGTGTAAACTATGCTGAAAGCTATCTACACTCTGATCTTCTCCAATAAGTGCCTCAAGTCCCCTTTCAAGTTCAATAAGTAGAGCTGGTATATTTGGGAATTCTGTTCTTTATTCTGGCAGCTTCTTACATGTCTTAATGCCATCTAACATCCTTTTTGGATATGGATACAGAATTCAAGCTCATTCCAAAGAGCAACAAAATGTCATTCTTCTGAGAGAGTTATTAATAGTACAGCCCACTCAGGGTTTAATTATTCAGTAAGCAGATGATACAAGCAACTTTTTTTCCTCCTTGTCCGCCTCTTTCAAATCTTTCCTACTGCCTACTGTTAACCATGTTCCCCACCCCCTTTTACTCTTCTTCCCCTTTGCCAGAAAATGCAAGGGGTCTGGAGAAGAGGAGAGAGTCAGCTCAGCTGTTTCTTTCCTTGGATGGGGGCTGAGGGTTGGAATAATTTGGCAATCATAATGTATCTGACTGCCTGTGGGTCTAGCAGTTTGCTACTGAGTCAATTCCAACTCCTAGTAAACCTCTACATATATCAGGAGAGATCTTTGCTCAGTGGGTTTTGTGTTTGGGTTTTCTGTTGTTGTTTTGTTTTTTATTCAAAAGGAGGTTTTTCTTACAAGGTACCCTTGGGTAGACTTTAATTGACAACCTTTTGGTTAACAGCCAACTAATTTTGCATGATTCAAAGACTCCTCTCTCTGGGGTCTACAACCATCCTTCTAGAGGCAGCTAAGAATTACTTATGTGGAGGGATGCAAAGGGCTCAGAAGGCCATGTTTAGCAGTTAAGCAACTGCTCCAATGAGTGATGGAGATGAAATCGGCACTAGTGGCAACGTCTGCATCCTTAATATTCCACTGGTTTATCCAACACTGGTGTATGTGGAAGGAGCTCTGGTGGCAGAGTCCAGAGGACACTGTGCTGTGAACTCAAAGGCAGTGCCTCCCTGGTGGTTTGAATCAACTCTTGAGGGGAAAGATGGGCTATCTCCTCCCAAGGCACTTATGGTCTCTGAAAAGTCACTGGAAGACCAGCTATGAGTCACAGCCAACTCAATGGAAAGGAGATGTTAATTTGGTTAGCATAAGTTGACCTATTAACTCTCAGAGGACAAAGATTCAAGACTTAGACTTTGATTTCTACAAAATCTGCCTGGTACAAGTTCATTATTAAATGTGTTTGTCTTATAGTTTTGCCTCGTTTACCACATTGAAAGTTCTCTAAGGTTTGGAATCCCATTTGTAGCCCCATGTGATAGCCCAACGTATGGCGGACAGTGACTTAATAAGTTGTCAAAGGAATAAATGACATTGCGAGACAGATTAAAGGAAGTCTTTGAACACTGACTGTGAGCTACTGCTTATCTGCTAATTAAATCCAAACGCTTGAATCTTGCAGTTCCTCCTCGCCTGAGTGGAGACGAATTCCAAACAGCTGAGGAAGGGAGTGATGTGTGGTTGGTTTGCAACGTGCACTCCAACCCCAAGGCTCAAATGAGGTGGCTTAGAAACAACAGCACCCTTGCTTTGGAGGACAACTATCAAATCCAGGAGACGAGTGTGTCTCTTCAGCTTCTAATCACTCAGGTCAAGAAATCTGACAATGGAACCTACACCTGCACAGCAGCTTCCCCTCTCTATACGGAGACCAAGGACTTTCACCTGACTGTTAAAGGTAACTGCTGACCAAAACCTATTTTCTAAGTTATCCCAGGCACAGTGCAAGCCTCAGACTAGATGTTTAGTAAACATTTATTTCTGAGGATGATAAATGTTGATCCCACATATAATTAATAGCTAGGACCCTCTGTGGAGAAATATTCCCATTCCACAGAGGGTTCTTCTAAGAATTTAGGGAATTGGGTGAGCTCTGGTCGCCTAGTGGCAAGAAGCTGTGCTACAATCTCAGAGGTATGCAGTTCAAATCCACCAGATGCTCTGCTGGAGAAGGAGGGACAAGTCAGATCTGATTTGACAGTACACACACACACACACACACACACACAATAATTCAGGGAATTATGCCTAGCCTATAAAGGACACTGGCAGCGAAGGAGAGGAAGACCCTCAACGAGATGGACTGACACAGTAGCTGAGATTATCCACCACAGAAATGACAAGGGTGGTGTAGTCTCCAGCAGGGGTTTGATCCATTATTCATAGTGTTATACATAGAAGAAGCTGAACGTGGCTTGATGGCATCCAACAGCAAGAAGATAGGACACTACTTTTTGGACAAAGATCCCTTTCTAGAACCAATTGGAAGAGGGAGGGCCTTCTTCCACTCCCTGTTACCAGCACCAGGACTAGCTGCCACCCACCCAGTTGTTTCTGACCTGTGGTGAGTGTGTGTGTCAGGGAGTCCCAGACTCCAGGGGCTTTTAAGGGGCCAATTTTTCAGAAGCAGATCACCAGACCTTTCTTCTGAGCCACCTCTGGGTGGACTTGAACCTCCAATCTTTTGGTTAGCAGCACAAGCTTTATACATTTACAACACCCAGGGGCTCTTCTGATGGCCTTTAGGGTGTTGCCATGAATTCTCCCAGGGGACAAAGTTTGTCGCAACTGAATTTTTGAGTCCACAGCCTAATGGCAAGCAGAAGTATGAAATATAGAGAGAAGGAAGGTGCTGGGTGGGTAAGAACTGGATCTCTAAAGTGACTTCTAGATCTAAAATTCAACCTGCAGCCTGCTCAGAACAGGAGTGGGAGGAAATGGGAAAACAAAGCCAACTTCTTTCTCTTGGCATCATGTATGCAGGTTTAATACTTCTGCAATAACAGGGAACAAATGAAGATCCGGGTAGCTTTGCCACTTCATATTTCTTTCCCAGCTGTCCCGTTTTATGAAGAATATGTAATAGATGTATTAGTGGTTTAATTGCAACATTATTGAAGAATACAAAAGCAGCAATTATGTCATTAAATGATGAGGGGAAAAATACATATACATATCATATCTTTTAAGGAACTTCACTAAGTACTAAGTTTGATGCTGTTGGGAGGTGTTATCTAGCTGAAGTATCTCTTAATTCCTATTCTGAAGGCAAATTCCTATTTTGTTGGCCAACTGCCTTTTCATGAATGAATGGTAACATCTTTAACAGAAAATCTGCACCACTTCTTGCTCAGAAAAAAAGAGAAAGACAAGATACCTGGAATAGAGGAGGGAGAAAAGTGTTCATCCCCACATTTCCCAGTCTTGGGGCAGCATGTTAGTGGTAGCCAATGAAGCATAGGCTCCTAAATCTTGCTAGGACACCATTCAGGTTGCCATTTGCTTACCTGTGCCTACTCATTGCCTATCTGCTCATCTTCAGGAAGCCAATGAAAGCCCAGCCAGAAGAGTTCCAAGGGAGTCAATAGTCAGCCAATGGTCTGATACCACCATTGATGCTGTTAGCTTCTGTGAAGCCAACCTTGACTCACAGTGACCCTATAATCAACAGATTGAAACCTTACCGTATCCTGGGCTATCCTCATAATCTCCTCATATGGTTTCTTATTTCCTCCCCATCAGTGGTTGGATGACATCAGCAGAGCCACTGGTGGGGAGTCAGAGCTGCTAGTTGAATGTCCATCATGTGATTCCTGGTGTATGCAGTAATTTGACCATGTGACCAATGACCACAGTGACCATGTGCTTAGGAAGAACCTGCTTTTAAAACCAAAACCACAAATAACCCAAGTACCTGTGGAAGGGGAGCCAGGAGAATGTCGTGGCTCTTTGGCTCCCCCAGGACCACTAATGCACCATGGTTGGTGTGGCCTTAGGCCACAACATTCTAACTGGCTATAAAGACCACACTTGGAGAGACAAGGAAATTAAATCATCCCTCTTGGTTAAGAAGAATCATAATTGCCCTATGTCACATAAAAAACATGCATGTTGTGTAGCAAGCAGGATGCCAGGTTGGCAAACTGGCTTGCAGGTGGGTAGGATCCTGTTTTGGGTGGAGCATTTCCAAACCAACTTGTTTTTCTGTTCCGGTCTTGCTTTGTCACTTCCCAGGCTGGGGGCTGTCTTTGCAGCATACATGCTCCAGCAACAGACTGAGTTTGTCATGTGCCTCTCCTAGCTTCTCTGTACAATGGGATACTTTCCAAACATCCCATGCAAAGCTAGAAACAACATCATAGATATATTCTTGTATCCAAAAGGTAGCCCCATCTGTAGGAGTTATTTTACCATAACCCTTATGGGAAGAAAAATACCAGCTCTGGCTACAAATAAGAATGTAAGACAGGATAAAGAGTGAGGTCCATTATATTAGTGTGGCAAGGAAGAGAGCCCTGGTAACAGCAATGGCTGAGTAATCACCTACTAACTAAGAGGTCGTCAGTTCAAACCTACCAGACATGCTGCACGAGAAGGATGTGGTAGTCAAAGATTATAATCTTGGAAACGCTATGAAGCAATTCTACTCTGTCCTTCAGGGTCACTTTGAGTCAGAATTGACATACATGATGACAGAGGTTTTGTGGTGAGTGACACTCACTTGCAAAATTAAATTTCATCAGAAATGTGGGATATAAAGGGAACCAATGTGGCAGTCACTTTATTCCAGGTTAGTTTTGAAGTGGCTTTGTTTTCTTTGGTGTGAGAAAAACAGCACAAACTTTTCATGAACTCTGATTGCTTCTCCTTGTTGTCCCACCTCTGCTTTGCTTCTGTTTTGGCATGTCTCTTTGGCATGCAAGCAGAGGATGTCCCCAGTAAAATGGAACCACATTGAGGTGTCCCAAGGCAGATGATTCAGAGTTTACTGATAAGTGCTAAAGAATTCGTAAAATAAGGAGAAAGAGAAGAAGGAGGAGAAGAAGGAGAATTATTGGCCAAAGAAAACTACCTGGTTGAAAAGCTCAAAGCTCAAATAGAAGAAACATGTATTGTGGAAATGCCAGTACAGTTTAAACCAGGGGAAATACACAAAGTGAAAGGCATTCACTAATCATTTACAGGGGTTTATAAAAGCAAGAGAGCCCTGGGGCCCATTGTTTACAGGACTTGACTGCTAACTTGTAGGCCATCAATTTGAAATGAGCAATTGCTCCCTGGAAGAAAGATGTGACAGGCTACATCTGTAAAGATGTATGCCTTGGAAATCCTATGAGGAATTTCTGCTCCGTCCTATAAGATTGCTATGAGTTGGAATTGACTGAACGATAATAAATTATGGGATCTATTTTATGACCCTGTTTATAATATTTATAAATAATATTTATAATATAACCTATATAACCTTCCTTTATAATATTTACCTCAATTTGTAGTTTTTTAATTTGCTTGACATCTGTCTCTACCAACTAGAATCAGAGCTCCATGATGGCAAGGACAATATCTGCTTTTTTGCAGGGTCAAGAGCAGGGTCTCTTGATACACAGTAGTCTCTCAAAAAGTATTGGTTGACTCCATCTCCATTTCCAAACTCAACTGTAAAAGAAATATCACACTATCATTAGGTTAACTTAATTCTGATTCCAAGTGGGTGGGAAATTTCATGCATGTCTTAATATGTGGAGGTCTTTGTTTTTCCAAGGTGGCATTAGAATCCTAGGATTTAGGCAGAGAGTCACTAGAACCCTTGATTGAGTTTCTTCTTTTGAAGGGTTACAATATCTTGTAGGAAATAAGTTAAGATAATGCACATTATGTACACAATTTTCATTTAAAAAAACTTTTTACCTAAAACTATTATGGGAGAATATTTAATTCTATTACAAACTATTTGCTTCCTAACCATAGTAAAAATGCATCTATATACCTCAATATATAATATATTAAGTGTCTTTTTTTCTGTAAACACTCTGAAATGACTTATAGAAATTGCATACATTTTAAATTTTGTGATAAGTGGATTATTAGCTTAGTTTTTGAAGCTATAAAATTATTGTTTAACAGAAGCACAGTCAAACATAGGCTACAATTTAGAGATGTTTAAATAAACATTTATTAGTTTTGACTTTGCTACTTTCTTTTCATATTTTGGAGTCGATACATACCCCACCACCACCGCCCCAGATTTCAGACTTTTTCACAAGTCCCATACCTTTCAGGTTTTTTGAAAGGCAGCAAGAAGCATGACATCAGCCCCTCTACATTTTTCATGGGGAAAAAAATGATGAGTCATAAAAGCAAAATTATCAGACGACCTGCGTAGTAGAGTTATTTGTATTTCAATAAATTCTTCTGCCGTGAATGAATGGATTAAAAATTGCCCTCTGTTGTTTAGTAGGTCTGTAACTTTAAACAGGGACTCTTTCAAGGCCTCGCCTACAATAACAACAATAATAATAATATCTACCTTTTGGGGACCATAATACCTACCTTTTTAAAGTTGCTGAAAGAACCTAATTAAGATGATAAGACATACTTAAAATGCAAGACACTGTGATTGAGACATATCAAGAATACATGCATGCACACCCATGTTTATTGTGGCTTTGTTCACAATAGCAAAGAGCTGGAAACAACCCAAGTGCCCATCAACAAATGAATGGATAAAGAAGCTCTGGTATGTTCACACAATGGAATACTATGCAGCATTAAAAAAACAAAGAACTCATGAAATATTATGCAAAATGGATGCCCCTGGAGGACATTATACTGAGTGAAAGATCACAGTCACAAAAGGACAAATATTGCATAGGGCCACTGTTGTGAAATGGGACTGACATCAGGGTTGTGAGAAGACAGAAAAGGAGGGGAGGAATGATATATATTGCATTGAAACAGATGAGAGAGAGATCTGTTTAAAAGGGACATATGAATGGGTATTCTTGTCATTACAGAAGTCCAGAGTGAAGGCTGCATAGTGGAATGAACTTGGGAGGAGGGATTGCATAACAATGAAAGAGTTTTTCTTTTTTCTTTTTAAGGAGGGGAGTGATTTGGGGGGAGGGGGCACGCAGGGAGTAAAGTGCAACAATGAATGACTGGAAACTCTAAGTCTCTGTAAACTTTCATTAAAACTACTAAATAAAAAAACCAAAACAAACAAACAAAAGAATACATGCATTAGAAGCAAATTAATGTTAATTTTTATTCTTTGTGTTTGCATTTCCAACAGATAAAGGGCCAATCATACCAATAGAGGCAATCATTGCTGCATGTGTTGTGGTTTTTCTGACATTGTGCTTCGGAGTGGTTGCTAGAAGAAAAAAAATAATGAAGGTATCTAAGTATTTGAAATTATTAGGTATAAAGTCATGTAATGAATCTTTTGTCTTTGATTAAGTGCAATCAGGGTGCTCCTTAAAGGCAAGGCCAAAGAAGCTTCATCTCATATCCTTAGGGCATATTTTCAGAAGGGCCCAATGACATCATGCTGGAAAAGGCGGAGAGTCAGAGAAATAAAGGGAGACCCTTAACAGGATGGATTGATACAGTGACTGTAACAAGGGGCTCAAGCATATCAGAGGTGGTGAGGATGGTGTAGGATGGATACATTTCAAATGTGTTATTCACAGGATCCCTATGAATTGTAGGCGACTCAACACACCTAACAAAAAAAGCAGCAACAAGGTATCTTCTACATTTGTTAATAAGGCTGTTTAAAGTGGCTGCTGTTGTTGTGTACCATTTGGTTTGGTTAAGAAAAATTCTTGGGCAATGTTAAATCTGGTCTCTCTACCATGGGATATAAAAATAAGTTGTTGTAAAAAAAAAATAAGTTGTTGTGTGCCATTGAGTTGGAACTGATCTTCTGATAGTTTTTCAGAGGCATTAAATCACACGGGAGGAGATTGCACATCTTCCCATGGGATTGAATAGTTTGCCTTTGGGATTTCAGTGCAGTTCCTTACCATCAGGCTACCAGAGGATCCCCCCACCCCTCCACCAAAAGAAGTTAGTTAATGGAGTTTAAAAAAAATGCATGTGTATTAGCTGCACAACCTTACAGAGAATCCACATGCATATGACATGGCCTGAATCGAAATAGCTGTGGTGTCAGTGATAGGGACTTGGGATTGATTCTTCCTTCTTTTTGAATTTTTCTTTATTGTTGCTATGGTACCCATTGCACAATAAATCAATATGGGGAAGAACATCTGCTCTGGATTCATAATCCTGCATTGAAAAGATGGCAATTGCTGTTTACTTCTTGCGTACAACCATATGTCTCTGTTACAGTGGCCTTCAGTCTGAATGGTTAACCTCACTAGTTAGCTTTGGCCAAGTCCATGCATTTGATTCTCTCTACTAACCAATGCAAAAGAAGTGCAAACATGCCAGAAAACCTCTCAGGATAGTCCTTTGTGCCCGAGGAGAATTAATAATCCAGGAAGGGGAATCTTCCTTGAAAAATGTAACTGAATAGCATTTTGAGGGACAAAGGGACACAGCCCTTCAGAAAAAGTCCAACCATCACTTCCTCATCCCAAGCAACACTTCCCTACCCCCCTTCAAAAAAAAAAGGAAAAGGAGAGAGATGCTCTCAGTTTTAAGAAATGCCTAGAATAGGGAAAGTACGCAGACAAAAGTCTATTTGTGGTATCAGTGATAGAAGGGAGAGAAAAAAAGAGGATATATCATTGCCTGAGGGCCACTGAGCTTCTTTTAAACATCATGGGGAAATTTGAAAATGGATAGTGGTGATGAAAATAATTAATGTCACTGAATTATATTTATAAAAATATTGAAATGCTATGTTTTTCCCCCTATACAATAGTCACGTTTTCAGCAACCTAAAAATCCTGGAGGCACCTTGATTTTAGAGTTTCTTTTTCTCTAAGTTCTGTGTAAATAAATCCATGTGGCCAAACAAAGGGAACCTGAGCCAACACAATGAAGTCTGCTTTCCCTCAGACCTCTGAGCCACCCTCATGCAATCAAAGCATTTACCCATGTGCTTTGGGAAAGCAGGCAAACTCATTGTCCTTTTGTGTTTGCTTTTAGCTCTGCATGAAAAGGCAAGACCCCCAGAATGGAACTTCTCTGTAAGTTGAGGTCCTCTGGGTTGGGGTCTGTGATTTTGCCATAAGCAGATGGGCAGCAGTGGCACATCCTAGAGTACATGGAGGGGAGGGATTCCACTGAGATGGGAGGTACCAGAAGGTGACAGGGTTCAGAGGAGGAGAATGGAAGGAGGCCTAGTATCGTGTTGGAGCTTTGCCTAGAACTGAAAACACCTTCAGTCATAAGTCTCTTTAGGCAATTTTTGGCTGATGCTTATGCAACTGCATTTTATTGCCACACAATATCAATGACAGACAGGACCTGCTCTGGGGAAATCCACTTCAATTACTCCACATTCCAACAAGCACAAGAGTCATTGTAGTCAGCCTAACACTGCTTTCTCCCTGGACCTTCTTAGTCTGCGGACTATGGCATCTGTAAGGTGGGCAGTGGGTAGAAAGAACAAAGGCATACTTTCTGTGAGTGCAGGCTTTGCTTTGACATTTTTAAATTGATATGTTTTTCACTGTGATTAATTTCTTGGTCTGTTCCAGATAAGACAACGGGAGATGCCCATCAACTACAGGAAACGTTTTTCATCAGGGCCTCTTTGACTTCTGTAACTCCACCTGTATTTATTGTGATTATTCATTCCTGTCAATTTGTTAGAAGTTGTGGGGAGGATTTCATTACTTGCTTAACAATAGTTATCACCACTGATTTGATATCCATATTGCATTCTTATGGGAAGTCCTGTTGCTAAGAATGATACGATTTTGTAGAGTCTTCTCCTTGAGGTTATGTTGACTAATTGAGATCTATTACAAATTCTGTGGTAACCTTTTACCATTATTTTTAGTGTGTCTTTTTCTACATCTGAGATGATCAGATATTCTGGTTTCACAGATCAAAGCAACCTCCCCCACCAAAAAAACAGGAGCGAGGGAGTGTCAGGGAGTGAAGGAGAACAAAGAATGATCAACTTTTTTAAATGCTAAAGAGGCACATTAAAAAAAATCAATTATCACTTTACCATCATTTCATAATAAAAATATTTTAAGACTTGGCTTAGTTAATTATTGCTGACATAACAGCAATATTACAAGTGAGTGACTTTAGCCCACAGGAATTTGCTTTCTTACTAATAAGGAGACTGTTGTTATTGCTTTGTGCTTTAGAGTCAGAACTGACCCATAGCTGACCCTCCAGTGGGTTTTCAGAGACTGTAAACTACATGGAAAGAGATTGTCCATCTTTCTCTCAAGGTGCAGCTTGTGGATTCAAACCATGTGTCCCTGTGTTGGCAGGGCCACTCCTTACCACTTGACCATCAGAGCTCCCTGTTTATGAGGTTGCTGTGGGCCCCATAAGTTGTTAGAGGTTTGAATTCAGGGTGCTGGTTCCAGAAGAAGGCTTTTTTTTTTAGATTTGTACAATGATGTTTATAGCAGCATTATTCACAATAGCATTAACATAGAAACAGCCCAAATATCCAACAACAAATGACTCAATTGAGAAATTGTAGTACATTCATGATGGTGATACTATGGGGTATTATGGAGACAATGGAATACCACTCAGCAGTTAGGAGCAACAATGTTGAAAAATACTATAAAATATGGGAGAGGCTAGAGAGCATCATGCTGAGTGAGCTAATTCAGGCATATAAGGACAAATACTACATAAGGTCATTATTGTAAAAACAGAAAGATAAAACAGTAAGATATCCAAAGAAGGAAGGGGAAGAGTGGAGGGGCTGAGGGTGGAGAATAGGGAAAATCACAGGGTTGCAGGTTTTGGTGGGTGGAGGGAGAGAGGAAAAAACAAAAGAACAATAACACAATGTACATGAATGAAACACAATGTGAACAAACTATTGTATGCAAACCAATAATTTATTTTTTAAATCACTGTTTGAATCAGGCACATTGTAGTCCTCCAAGAGACAACTTTGCTTTTCAGAATAGAGGAAGGCTTTCTCTGTCAGGCTCTCCTGGAAGATTCTTGTCTCTTTTGCAAGTTTGCCCCTGGGGACTCTTTCTGTAGCTTGGTATGTCCCTTCCCTTTCTCTGATCTTTTTACTTGTTTAATCATTTTTATAATTCAAAATAAATTGACTTGAGGTACACCCTACACTATTTATGTCTCATTAACACAAAAAAGACAGTTCTTTCCTAAATGGGATTACAACCACAAGCATAGGGATTAGGCCTTATAACATGTATTTTGGCAGTACCCAATTCAATCCATAACAGACTATAGAAAGGAAGGAAAGATACAATATCAGAATATAAAAATATGACTTGAAACAGAATAAGTTTAGTACTATGAAAACCTCAATAGGTGCACTTATTTTTCTCATCTCATAGTTGACGTAGTCACAGTTTTTGAGAGGATGAGCATGGCAAGATCAAGAGAGGCAGCTCATCAGCATGTGTCTTACAAGTATCCTTGGACATTTGCATGGCCTGGATAAGAAGCTATGCTGCCAACACTAAGGCACATGCCTTGAATCCCCCAGCTGGAGAAAGATAGGCAATCTCCTCTTATGCAATTTACAGTCTCTGAAACCCGCTGGAGGACTAGCTGTGGGTTGGTTCCAACTCAGTGGTACTAAATAAATAAAGTATATGAGTTGTCAATCAACTTACTCTCTCCTGTCATCTATTAACTTCAAATTATAGCTCTTTTATCGTTTGTCCTTGATTCCCCCCACTTCGGTTCTCTGTATTTTCTCTCCCACAAGAACGCCTGCTTCTTTATCCCACGCAGATGGGTGGAGCAGGAGTTAAGGAGAGACTGCTCTGACCAGAATCACCCTGGCTGTCTCTGTATTCATCTCCACTATTTAGGGGTGGGGGGATTTCTCCACCCCCCATAATATTGCAAGAGCTAAATTTGCCACATTTTGAGAGAGCTCTGCTGTCAGCCATGTGGTAGAAATCCCTTTAATGGCATAAAAGAAGAAATGAGCAGAATGTATGAAATCTCAACCAACTTGTTTCTAAGCAGAACAGACACAAGCCCCCTGTGAGGCTCCTCCCTCCTTGGAAACTTGAGCAGGGAATGAACAGAGACAGAGAATTAAATCACTGTATGGATCTCACCGGCTTCTTGGATGCCTCTACAGGTATTTGTGGGGAGGTCTTCAGATCATGCCCCTTGTTTGAGATTTCTCAAATTAAGATTTTGAAACCCTTCCTTGTGAAAATGCTGTAAAGATAAGAAGATTGTGGAAATCTGTGAGCTTAGGCAATTGTGAAGAAACCTCAAGATTGGAAAGAAAATATCAAATGTCAGGTAATGGCCAACTGATATGGTTGAAAATAGAAAAGGGACCAGAGAAACTTACATGTCAAATTGAACTTGGAATCTGGAAACCTAGGGTTTTAAAACACAGTCTTGACTGTGTTATCTCTGACAAATCCTTTATCCTGTCCTAAGCCTCAGCAAATAATTTTTATAGATCTATCTATATGAATTCTTGATTATTATGGTTGGTTTGGGAGAACTGATACGGTTGAATTAAGGGATTTTTAAGGTTCATGGTAATTTGAAAACACTATGATTCTCAAAAGATTCCAACAAAGTTTAGTTAACGATGCTAGAAGGAGTTGCCAAGAAAGACTGAAGAGGTAGTATCTTTGCCCCACCTAGTAGAAGTATGAATCAGCTTTGTTCTAGGGCATAAAACAATTCTTGAGAAATTACAGCTCATCCGGAAACAATTTCTTCACCCTTATAAAATACAGTGGCCTTGTACATTAGCACAGACAAAGAAAAGTTTTATTTTTTTTTTATTTTTTTTCAAAGAAAAGTTTTAAAGAGCACAGTAATATCATAAATGCTCCTTTTATTTTGCCTTATGGTAGCTTAAAAATGCTCCACAGGGTTTATATTACATATAAATGTCTATCACTACTCTAAAACAAAAAGCCTAGTGACTGCCTTCAAAGGACATGAAATTCACCTTTCTCTGAATAAGATACCTGAAATGCCGCCATTCTTTTGCTGACTTGGCCATAGCTGTTTGTTGTGTACTATAGAGTCGGAACTGGCCCACAGCTGGCCCTGCAGTGGGTTTTCAGAGGCAGTAAATTGCACAGGAGTTGATTGCCCCTCTTTCTCCCATGGAGAACCTGGTGAACTTGGAGCTTGTACCTCTATGTTGGCAGAACAGTTCCTTACCATTAAGCCACCAGGACTCCATTCGAATTTGACCATTTGAATTTATCAAAATAACCAGCAAAGAAGTGATAGATAAATGCGGCAAACACCACCTCCCTCAACTTTATTCATTAATAAGGATACCTTTTATTATTACTATTATTTTTTCTCCTCTTTTTAAAAGATCTAAACTATCAAGTGAACTTAATTAAATGTTTTCATAATGCTTAAAATATTGATCAATGCCATCTACTTAGTAGTCTGCACTTTTATGACAATGCAATCACGTAGTTGATAAGCTCTTGCTAGCTGCTGCCCTGTCGACACTGACTCACAGTGACCTTGTGTACGACAGAACCAAATGTTGCCTAATCCTCAGTCAACATCCTAGTTACCAACAAGTTCAAGTTCATCCTTGTGGCTATCATGCCAATCTGTTTCACCAACAATCTCCCCTCATTTCTGCTGGGCGTCTATTTCACAAACTTGAGGTCTTCCTGAAGCAATCGATCCCTCCCGACAACAGTGCAAGTGAGCTGGACGAAGCTCTCATGGGACCCACAGGGTTTTCATTGACTGATTTGGGGAAGATCACCAGGATTTTCTTCCTAGTCTATTCTCATCGGGGAAGATGCAAATCTGTTCACCATGGATGACCTTGAAATATCCTGTGCCATAGTTTTCAGCATTACAGCAACACACGAGACACCAAAATATGACAGACTGACATGGGTAGTGGCCAGTTGATGCAACTCCACCTACAGCAAAAAATCTGACACTCTAGTTAGCCTGTAAGATCCCTCATAGGATGATGTGTGCTCAGCTACTATGCTCAAGGTTGGCAGTTCAAACTCATCCAGCGACACTTTAGAAGGAAG